AAAAAAAACATTGCCAAAGTGCATGGAATTTATAAGTATTTTCTTCATCCATTTATCCAATAGGCATTAATTGAAAACTACTGTGTGTCATTCATGTTATAGTCTATAGCATTTTAGTCAGTACTGTATGAAGCTGCAGTAACATTTAGACCTCCCTGCCCAAGACTGATAGCTCAAGCATGATGCAACGACACACCTGTTTATGTAACAGTCCTAGGGAGGTGACCTTGTCTGCTGCAGCACTGCTTCCCTTACTGGGGCATGGACTTAGGCTCCTCCAAACTGTCTCTCCACCATCCTCTGAGGTCTTACTTTGTTTTGCATCCAGCCGGCAGTAGCAGGGGAAATACAGTGAGACCCAGCAGCTTCTCCAAAAGCCTGACCTATAAAAGGTACATATGGCTTCTGCTCACATTCTGTTGACCAGTTTTGCTTTGTAGGCACATCTGAAACTAAGCAAGCTAGAAAATATGGTCAAATTGTGTCCATGGGAAGATGTAAGGAGCTGGCAGTCTCTGCCATGCAATCTGTCTATAAAAGTAGTCGTTTTTCAAGATTTCTTGTGATCTCATTGCAGTTCTGTGAAGTGCACGGAGGAAAAAAAACTATTTTTATCAATTTAAAGTTTAAGAAAATGAGAAATTTAGTGCCATGCTTAAATTTACTTACGATAGTAGCCAATCCAGGATCAAAAATCAGGTTTTTTTCCTTTCATTTTAATGTTCTATTTTTCCATATTTAGTTTTCTCTGTCACTGAAGATTTCATTCTGCAGAAAACAATAATCCAAATTTCATTTTTATTTGATGACTGTTAGTATTTCAATGGCATTGTGATTTTTTAGAAATTAAATCTCTTCTCTTTTCCTAAGCAGCTTTTTTTCCCCAATTACATTGTGATAGGACCTCTGCTGCCTAGGTACATAGGAATACTCTAAGTTCCAGCCTCCCTTCCTAGAAGTTCACCTGGGTGGAGTGATCATTTGTTGCCAATGACTGCAACTGACAATTATGCTGCCATTTCCCAGCTAAGACACTTGAGAGCAAGTGTGAGTCCTCTGTTCTCTCTTGGAGACTCTAAAACCATGGTTAAAAGGGTAGATCTCCTAGTAACCTCATGAAGAACAGCTTCCCTGGAGACTTTTTGTGATGCTGAAAATTTAGAGGAGTTATGTATCCTTTGAAGAGAATATGTTTTAAAAAAGGAAGTAGAACAAAACTTTGCCTGAAGACATGAACAGGCATATAATGTATTAGGCATACACCCTGATGAAAAAGACATGGCTGGTTCTGGAAGATGTCTTTGTGATGTTGAAAAATTAGGGGAGGACACAGAACAAAAATTAGGACACAGGATAGCAGAAACTACTCCAGCTTCTAAAATCATGTTAGCTAACTCATATTATGGGCTTATCCTGCCAAGAATTTTATGTGCATTGCCTCATTGAATCCTTACAACAACCCATTGAGTTAGGAACCTTAATTCCATTGCTCTGTTGAGGAAAGTTAGATTAAATGAAGAAGTTTTTTCAAGATCCTACATTTAGTTAAAGAAGAACCAGAATTTCAACCAGATTCTTTTTTCAAAGATCATACTCTTAGTTAAATCAACTGCCAAGGAGTAATTTAAAATAAGGTTTTATTAGCATAACTTTGGCAGTCTGCAATTCTATGTAAAGCCTTATGCTATCAAAAACTAAGTGCAAAGGGGGAAAAGTAAGTATATGTAACAGAGTCAGCAGAAGGGCAAAGAGATTTTCTTTGTTAAAAAAAGGTAACAAAAATTTAGAAAATTCATTATATTTGGGCATTTCATTAAATTATTTCTCCCTCTAGAATGATAAAAGAATCATTTGATATTAGGATTTCAGGAAT